ACACACACACACACACACACACACACACACACACACACACACACACAGAGATGTGTTGGAACCAATTGAATACGCAAGTAAACTCTGCTTGGAAGCTTCTCAGGCAGACACAGCATGAACAAAAAGAGGTTTACATGTTGTATTCCTGTAAATGAACTTAAACTCTTCTCCAAAAAACTGCCAGAAGTGTCGCAGCTGATTAAATCAGTCCAGTAGCAACAATAACGACACGACGGATAATAAATACGGAGCTGAATTCAATATGTTTTGGGATCAACGATGGAGGAATTAAAGGTTTTTTGGACCTCTTTGCACGCTACCTACCAAGCACCTTAAATAAAACACTATAATGTTAAGTTTAGACTGTATCGGGCCAAGAAGGCGAATGGTTTTAAACATTCTAGTGCGTAGCTCAGTCAGCAATTTGATTTATTTGGCTTCACGACACTATTACAAGCATCAATGCTGCTATTAGTGTCCATCACTGCAGCAGAAATGAGTAGAGTGAGGAAGAGGAAGAGGAAGAGAAGGGATGAAAGTCGAGCAGCTTTACGCTGTGGGTATATGAGTCATGGGAATCACTGTTGATGTGTGTAAGTTCTGCAATATTCTTTAAATAGTGTTCAAACAAGTCAACAAGCCACATTCACACCTTCACACACGTGTTATCTCAGTGTGTGTGTGTGTTTAGGAGGTCGAGCGTGTCTGTGGTGAAACTCTGGGACACATGCAGCTGTCTCATGAAAGCATGTGGAGTAAGCAGACATACACACATGCAGATGGTAGACGTACAGACGGTGGGTAGAATAACAGACAAACAAATGTTTGGACTTTTCTAATTCTCTCACCGAGATTCATTTTGGAATCGTCGACGCGGGAGACAAACGAAATAAAGATGAATGCGTGTTCCGCCACTAACGCGAACCGGCCTTGAAGCAGTCGCAGCGTGATCGTTTGTCACAGTAGTTCGCGCTGACAGCGAAGTCGAGGAACCGTACCAACAATGCTCAGACAAGCCGCTGCTCAACAAAGAGCGCGCGTACACTCCGTCATCCTGCAGCGACACACAAGTGGATACTCGCTCATTCACAAATAAACACGCCCACAAAAATAAATAGTAACACTGACAGAGGCGCCTTGTTCTCCTGCTGCATGCTCTTCACAAGTTAAGCATACAGCAGTAGGGGCTTTGTGAGGGAAGCTGCAGTATTTATTAATTGAATTAAACAACACAGTACAGTGGTGACCATGTGTCGGTACCCACGCAACTTCAACACACCTGGAGCCTGCGATACAGCTCTCACACACGACTAGCACAGCCCTGCTCCAGGCTAATCTTTTTCTTATCCATCACCTGGCACGAGGAACACGTGCCCCCGGCAGATGTTCTTCTTACACCCGACATGTTCAACTATTCCGGCTGATAAGATCTCCTCGTCATGTACAGGCTGTTGCATTGATTCAATTGAACTCTCCTTCCCTCTCTCCTGTTTTTTTGAGCCCCTCAAGGATGGATTTAGTTTATAAAAACTATTAAAAATAGCATAAAATATAAGAGAAAAAAGGGAGGAAACAGAATTGCACGCGTTCACAACATCAAACTGTTGCTGTGGCTGTCGCAGCCTCACCGTGTATGCAGATAATACCACATTATTTCCTCACAACAGTGAATTGATGGGAGAAAAGGTCAACAATCAGTGGACCAGTGAATTCAGCGCTGATGCTAACCGGCATCACACCTGCACCGCATCAGTGGTAAATGTCATGTTATGTTGAAACACACACACACACAACAGAAGCTGTTATTGTTGCTATATGGACAGGAAGCTTCGTGTGTTAAGACGAGCTGGTGAAGGAACAGCTGCAGCCGGTGCGACCGGAGGAACGGAGGGTCTGGACCTTTCATTACCTGGACCCTCTCTGCTGGGAAACAAAGAGTCACATTAGGGGAGGAACACACTGTTAAGAAGCCGCTTTTTTTTTTTTTAAAGCTTATTTCAGTGGTGCTGTGTCATTAGCAGGGGGGGAAGGGGCCGAGATTGCGAACCACACGGAGAAAGACAGACGCAAAAGGAGTAATTATAAAAGCAGAGAGCGACTCCCTTGTGCCTGTAATTAACAGTGTTGCCTCAACATCTCTCTCTCTCTCTCTCTCTCTCCTCTCCTTTCATCTGGATGCCTCAACTGGTTCAGGTGAAAATCACCAACATTGGTCTGCATGTGAAGAATGAAGGAAAGCACACGGGGGGGGGATGAACTGGACTGAGAGTGAGGCCAAAAAGATTTAATGTAATTATGGCATGAAAACTGCAGTGGAAACCATCGTAAATTCCTGAGAACATCATGCAAAAGCCAAAGGGAAATACACTGTAAAAGTTTTTTTTTTTTAATAAGTCATGTAGTATCAGAGTCAGAATTCACATGCCAACTGTAGTGGCTCTGGTTCTGTTTGTTCCAGTTGTTAATATATCGTGGTTTGTGTTACTGTTAGTGTACTTGCAGGTACTATGACTACACCCTGACACATCTTGCGCCAGGCTGCAGGAAGCGCTCCATCATGTTCGACAGACTTCCTCTCAGCATGAATTCACTTTCCCACAGTTAGTACATTTTGCTGCATCAACTACTGTCTACTGCTACTGCTCCATCACAGACAGATGCTTCCTAAAAGATCCCCGTACATACAGTCATACAAATGTTACAGGAAATTATCAGATAATCAAGCGGCAAATATTTGGATTATCGCTCATTTGTCATAACTTTCCTTGTTCCAGCATCTCAAAAGTGACGATTTGATGCTTTTTCTCGTCAGAGATGATTGCAAATTGAGTCTTTGGGTTCTGTTCGGTTAGTCGGACATGTTAACATGTTATATATGAATAAAAAAAGGATTTAAGCTATGCAAAAGCACTGGTGTAATCTTTTTATTGAATCCATTGGCAGACGTTTTAACTGCTTTTAAATGAGTCATTTAGAAGTCAATAAAAGACGACATGGCTGGTTGAGGACGGAGACTTTTTGCAGTGTAAAATGAAATAGTGAGAGACCTGAAAACATCGTGTCATTATCCTCTAACAGTGGCTGCCACAGATAAGAAAATGGCACTGTTCTCTGTAATGTATTTGGCTTCATGTGGTGGTGTGTGGCTGCAGCGGCTTGGCTGTGCTTGGCTTCACTTGAAACCGAGAGAGGAACCGAGGTTAATGTGTGTGTGTGTGTGTGTGTTGAGATCTCGAGTGAACTCAGCTATAGTTCATCTCAGTAAAAACAGTAGAAGAGTATTTTTCCTTCACACACACACACATACTGCTGCATGCCTGCTCACATTCCATCAGGCAGCTCGGCGGCCAATCGGCAACGAGCATGCAAATGAGATGGGCGTGTCCTTTTTAAAAGCTGGAGTACAGGGTCTGAATGGAGAGTAGAATAGAATAGAATAGAAAGGGGAGAACAGAGGGAATAGAACACGAAATGTAGAGAAAAAGCATAACAAGTAGAGGACAGGAAGTCCAAATATTATATTTTTTTCTACAGATGTGTTTTTCTACAAACATAAAATAGAAAAGAATCAAATAGAATAGACTGACCTCTACTTTGTACGCGTGTGTCTGTTGATCCAAATCTTTACAATCGCAAAAAAATATTCAATTTGCAATTATACAAAACAGAGAAATTGAGAAATCATCCCATTTGAGAAGCCGGGAAACCGGAGAGTGTTGTTGCATAACAAATCACATCAATGATTAACTGACTTTTAAATTGAATTTTCTGTCAATCATCCAGTCGCGTTAAAATAATTTGTTTCAGCTCCATCATGACAATAATAAATCAGCACATCCATTTTTGTAGGCTGTGTATTTTTTCCGCACAGTTTCATCAACATGTTTGTCAATGGGCCCTCAGATGTGATCCGCAGAAACTCCTCAAAGCAGACGGTTAATTGAAGGCGGTAACGGCGTGACTTTACGATCCCCAAATAAATTCCCCAGTTCAAATAAATGACGAATGCATCACGAGAATAATGGTTGGGAGAGCTCTGCTAACTCGTGGCTAACGAGGTTATCCATGCACGGCCCTTGATACTGTGATAAAATGGCTCAGTGAACACGGTGCACAACTCTAACTGTAGCCAAGGGATACGCACCTATAATAGGAATTGACAGAAGGAATTAATAGAAGTGACTTCATGCTATGCTCTTTTTAGAATATGAAATGTGCTTTATAGCATCTTTCTGCTCCTTGTTTTGGTTTTAAGCGTCACAACTTTACTCTTTTGGTTGACGCTCTATCGTTACCGTCACTTCTAGATCGCCCAGTACAAGCATCAATGACAGAAAGGAGGTCTCATCAGCACCTGTCCATACAACACAACTGCAGATTATAGATTAAGGAGAGATTAAAATATGTCGAAGCATGGCGTGTTGCATTACAGCTAATCTCAGTGGTACAGCCCAGCCTATAGTGGCTTCACTGCAGAGTGGACTACTTTATTTAGAACAGGAACGGAGGGGGTTTAAACCACGAGCAGACTGCCGGGCTGACTCACTGACTAGAATAGAGGTCTGCTTAAAAAGAAAACTATGCTGTTTAAAAAAAGAAAGAAAAGAGGGACACAGAGTGGAAAAAGAGACAGCTAGTGGAACAGAAACAAAGTACTTTCTGTTGATATCGTGATATTTATCATTAAGCGAATCATTCCACGAATTAAAAGTGCGAAAGCATGGCGTGCGCAGAGGGCACGGCAGTGTACTTTTGGCATTTCGTGGCCGGAGGTGCACCGCACACATGCAGAACACTTGGAAACAGGGTGGGAGGAGGAGGAATACATTGTCATACATTAGTGCCAACGCTCTCGTTACAATTAGATTAGACTGCATCTATATGCAGCAGTGCAGGCTCAGCTCTACCACACAGTATATTAAAGACACAATGGCTCAGGTGCCTCAGGAGATGATACATGCAACAGGTGGTTTTAGAGAGGACTTCAGATTCTTATTGCAACAGTGAGAACTGTGTGTGTGTGTGTGTGTGCGGATGTTTCAATGCAACACTGATTATTTTGCAGCAGCATTGAGCTGGAGGGACAAGATTTAATTAAAGTATCCACTGTAGCTAGTGGCACGCATGGTTGCAATTTGACAGTGAATAACTGTCTCGGATGCACTTTATCGGAGTAATCTGAGTTTAGTTAACTCAGAGAAGTCAGTGTTGACTAAAAGTTAGACATTTAATGCCGGTCACAAGTTCCCAGAGGCCATGAAGGCATCTTTAAATGTCTTGTTTTGTCTGACCAACAGTCAGAAAAACACAAAAAATAATACTTAATTTCTCTTAACACTGGGAGAGTTAATTGAGTTAATTGAAAACTAATGAAGACCATTATAGCCAATGAATGTACTGTGCACTTGTCAATCAACAGTCTCTCTCTTACACACACACACACACACACCAGCTGTGCTCAAGCCAGATTCTGTCCAGTCTCTCACACACACACACACACACACACACACACACCATATTAATAGTCAGGTCTGCAGCTGAGGACTGCAACACCTGCCCGCTGAGTGCACACACACACACTCAAGTTAACCAGTAACTCGGCAGCCTGTGTCGATGTTCCCAGTCACACATACTGGTCTGCACAATTACAGTAAACGCACGCACACACGCACACACACACACGCACGCACGCAGCAGGTTACGAGCCCCGGATGTCAGTCAGGATCTTAATAACTGCACCGCCCTCCTGAGGTCCGGCTCCGGGCGGAACAGGCAGCAGAGGTGCGTTTGATTTAAGGCACTTGAGACACTGACAGCTGACTTCCAGCAGAAGAAGAAACAGCCCCGTGTGGGTTATATATATGGAAATAAAGACTGTGGACTGTGGATTTAAATGCAGCACGAACTCACCACATTAGTGAGGAAATCCCCTTCGCTGAGTTCCTCCAGGTCCAACAGGTTGGTGCCGCCGGCCGGGTAGAGTTTCTCTGCCGCCAAACTGTCTAAGATAGACTCCATCATGACTGCCTGTGTGTCTGTCTGCAGCTCACTGGACGGACGCTCAGCAGCTATCTGGACTGGTCGCACAATCCTAAATTCAACTCATTCAAAATGTGGCAATGTCGAAAATTCACATGCTTCTGCTGCTGCTGCGGAGACGTTGCTATCCATCCAGCTGTGTGCGTCTCTCGCTCTCTCTCTCTCTCTCTCTCTCTCTCTCAATGAATATTCAGTGAAGCCCCGCCCCGTGGTCTCAAATCACGCACACGCCCAAAACACAAACAAAAATATTAATTTTATGTCAAATACAGTCTTTGCAAAAACTTTTAATGTATCATCAGTTGCGAAAATGATGCTATATAATTAAGTACAATGTGTATGTGCGTCTACTTGAGTATTTTATGGAACTTAATACTTCTAATAAAAGATATTGTGTTTTTTATTCCCTTTCATTCTGAATTTCCACTTGATGGATAATACTTTAACTTAAGTAACATTTTGAATGCGGTATTCATTTTCATATACATTTACTTAAGTGAAGGCTGTATGAGTCTTGTTGTGGATTGTGTGGTGTGTACACTCTCCTGTTAGCTTGGAGGGGCATTACAGCTTCATCTTATCATCTCATTAGTGCTACATCAGCTTTAATCAGACCGGCTAAGTGGCCTTCAAGAGGCCATGTTTGGTCCATTTCTTTGATTGGTGGCTTACTGGTATGACTTCCTCAGACACTTACATGGAACTGAGCCCTCCCTTAATGTTATTAGTTCCACCTGGCTTTTCTAGCTATGACAAGCCTAAATGTCAAAGAACATGTCTACAACTGGAGATGTTTTACCAGAGTTACCCCCTTTAGGTCAGAGGGAGCCATTGCAATTTGAATTATTTCTATATGTGTGTAATAAATTGTAAATAAGACAATCAAAACAAGACAAAGGGAGTTGAAGAATGTGATTGTGTGAAAGAAAAACAGAACAGGTAGAGACTGTTTTGACACGGCCTCCAGCTACAACACACACACACACACACACACACTTTGTCATACCTTTGTCATACTTACTGGACTACAGTGATTCCCATCAGGTATTTATATTTTATGTCCCTATTCAAACGATAGTTACTAACTGTTATGTCAGGATCTCATGTTACTCAACATCATTTCTTCTTATTCTCTTCTGGGTTTCTCTTTTTTCTTCCTTTTCCTTATCATCATTCCCCCTCTACGTGCGTCCGGCCCCACGTCTTTTGTCTGTCTCCTTTCTCCTTAGATATCAGTTTACGGAGGTGTTCCACCTCGAGGGACAGGGCGTCTCTGTCTTTTCTCTCACACACATCGGTGTTGTGTAGCTGTCGTGACCTTCCATTGACCATAATGAACCTAACTAATCCTAATTCAAATTTAAAGGTACCTCGTGGAGTCTTTGGCCACTGGAGGCACTGTGGAGCAGTGGAGCACAGTTTCCATGAGACAACCCCTGTAACTTGTGATGTAACTGTTGACCTAACGTATGTAAATTGCTAATTCAGGATTAGAGCAGTACATTAGATTAATGTATTTATTCAAAATGAATCTGATTTGCAAAAACGTGTAGGAATCCGAAAGCTTTAGCTCTCTGATTGGTCTGTCATCTGTTGATGCAGGTTGCGACAGGCAGCTCTCTGATTGGCTCCCGGCCTGCTGATGCAGGTATGACTCATCTTCTATTCTGAGCCAAAGAGGGGACTCTGGGTTTTGACCTTTTGTCTCCTTGGGGACCGCCGTGATGTCATCACCTCCCCAAACATCCACTGTTGTCATCGCCGTTCGCCTGTCTCCGTCTGTCTGTCTCATCAAATCCAATCAGGTTTGATGGCATCACAAACAAGCAGCAGGGCATCGAGGCGGAGAACACACCGTTCATGTCTGTCTGTTTGAGTAAATGAGAAGTTCACTCCCCAAACGCTACGAGAAAATGACTTGTAGTCCCACATCGTCTCCTTCTCTCACTCCCTTTGCTGACCTTGCTAAGAAGCTGGAGCGTATTCACTGTAGCACTCACTCATGTTGGTGAATACAAATTCAAACTTTGATATTTATGACTTCTGTTCCCAAGTCTGTTAATATTAAACCTGTGGTAAGACCCCCCCCTCAACCATCCGACTTATCCCCTCACCTGAAATAAAGCTAGCGCCATTAGGTATACAGAGAAATAGCTCAATAAACCAACAGATTAACAAACAAACAGACCCTGATCCGCTTTTGTCGGAGAATTCAACGTCATCTCATGGTCTTCTCTGGGGGAAAAAGCTATTAAGGGAGACCTCGACTCAAACTAATGTTAATATATTCCTATTTTAATGCAAATGTGATTAAATCTGTCATTCTGGGGGACATTCACAAAGATATATGGACTTTTTGAAAACATTTTGAACCTGGTAAAAAGAATTCCGAATATCTTCTTCTTACTCCTTTTTTTAAAATTTGGGGCTAATACTACTATTTACGACTAAATTCTGCTACAAGGAACTTTCTTTTTGTGTCGATTTTGGCGGCCCCTGTGGACAAAAGCGGTATTGTTCCCATGAGCACCACCACATTATGTCGTGAATATCTTGTTATCGCTAGCATTTTGTTTCGGATGCGGGTGAAAGAAAGACTCAAATCATTTATATATATTTATATTTATTATACCATTTTTTAAACAGTTGTTTGCAGGATGCATAGTAATGAGGTAATGCATCCATTTGTGGCTTTGTAAGATTAAAAACTGTAATATAACAACGGTGAAACAAAATCAACTCCGTTTTAGCTGCCAATGTTAATACAGTCATACAGAGGCATCGGTATTATTTAGACTGTTTCATAAGTCATGGTTGCTTTAGCGACACCTGTGGTGACTGGTGGTAACAGCAGGTGTGTTTTAACAACACGCAGGAAAGGCGGACCCTGCCAGTATCAATAAAAACTACAATATAGCGATGCAATCACAGAATCCAAATACATAGAAAGCTTAAAATAGTATCAATAATTGGGTCTGGTATAAATAACTTTAGAGCCATAAATATGTAACTATCTTCACATTTTCATCCTCTGTGTTAGAGCCCATTGGGGTTCTGAGGTTGGTTGGGTGGAGTAGTTGATGTATAATAAACGGTTGTGGGGTTGGACAGCGGGAGTAAGCACACAGTCAATTTTCCCATAATGCCTTTACAATTGGCAGGAGCCAGAGCAGTGTGTATAAACAGAGCAGTCAGACTGAGCAGCTCTTTTTCTTACAGACAAGATGCCAAAGACGCCCAGTGCTTTGATCCCTGTTTTATTCTCTGTGCTGCTTTTACCTCCGTCTCCTTTTTTTTTTTCATCAGATGTCTCTCGCTGATCATAAAGTTCAGAAGTTCAGAGTGATGGACGAGGAGAGAGAGAGACAGAGATAGATACATAGACAGGAACACAGTCAAATAACGCCAAGACTCTAATCAAAACCAGCATCATTCTTTACACACTGTTACGTCATCGACACACTCCTACAACAAGGGCAAGTTCAACGGTTTTACTCACAGACTGATACCTTGGTTCATCCACGAGTTAGAGGCTTATGTTCTTGTGCATGAAGTTGACTATACTGACACCCCTACTTGATTCCTTATCATGTTATTCAAAGAACAAGTGCCTTAATCTGCTGCTAAAATCGGCATGGATCTCACAGATTGTGGGTCAGCTCATTCCATATCAAAGGGTTATTCATATACCTTTAGACAAACAGTGTGTTTGACATACTGGGATGAGTTTGCACCAGATGAAATGACCGTACTGCCCTCTACTGGAGGATGAAACAAAAGTCACTTTCTAACATGTAGCAGCTCTGTGTGTACAGATGATTGCTTTTACAGTAGTGAGCACATGTTGACAGTAAATAATGCATGTGACTGAGTGCAGCTGAAAAATGTATATCTAGTTGTTTGTTTGCTGCGGTCACCACTGCATGGTCTTAGACCGGGTCAGTTTCCTGGTCAGAGCGTGGCGAACAGTCAGCATGTAGGAGCGGCGGTCCGGCAGAGGACGCTGCTGGTCCAACACCAGCCTGACGGACACACACGAAACAAAACATCACCACTAACTGCTGATTAGACAACACATGCAACAGGTAACACCTTCTCAAGACTGCAGAGAAGATACAGTATGAGAGCCCGGCAAATATAAAGTATCTCCCATTTGACAGTTTATCTGTGTGGATTCATAGTAAATTAAGATAATAATAATGCTATGAGATGGAGACAGACTTAATATATGATAACATGATAACAATATTATTTTTTTCTTTTTAAATGTCATGGTTATCATCAATACCGTATATATACATATATATATACATATATATATATATGTATATATACGTATATGTATATATATACGTATATATATGTATATACCGGTGTATACCTGATGAGCTGAAACACGGGTGCTTCCACAGCTAAAACAGCTTCTGCCACCGACAGCTCCCTGAAGCCGCACCTACACAC